TCGTTTTTTGAATGTCTAAAACTTGTTTTCTGTCTTTGACTCCATATTTCCCTGTCTGTATCATTGAAAATTTCTTTGGCTCAGGACAGGCCTAAATTGATCTGGCTCCCTAGTACTCTTGATACATGTGATGACTACACAAACCTTTTACAATGAAGTCGTTTTGTTAGCCTGATGACTGGCTAACATAGCTTTGCTTGACACCAAGTCCTTGGTGTGACAGAAATAAACCACTCCGGGTCTTTACATGGCCGACTTGATCTGGTTAACTTGGGTCTAACAGACAGATCCCTCTGCTGATGTCAGGCATGTTTTGGATCTGTTGGTGTTCCTTCATTAGTGATGCAGATATAAACTAATGAATCTCCTGATCTGTTTGCATCATATAGAATTGCTTTGTCTGTGATGTAGAGAGGACATTGAAACTATCATTTTATATTGAAATTGACCGTTTTTCTTAAAAAAGAAATTGAAAGAATTTGACATATTCTAAGAATTTCATGTAATTTGAAATGATTTCTAAGGAAATCTGTAAGTTCTGGTATTCCTAGATTGAAATTTGACTTTGTTGATCCACTTTACTTTGTTTTGTTTTGATTTACTCTTAACATTTACATATCAAGCATTATAAGTGTTAAGCTTGCTCATTGATTAAACAGATTATGATGTACGTCATAATTTGTTGTAGAATTATTAAGAGAACTAAACAATTCATAGAGAGTGAGTATGTACTGTAGCAACATATCACTCGGTCTTAAGCTACACTGATATGGTCACATGATTCTCAGTTTAGAATAGAGCATCGGAAGTCAGTGGTTTAGGGTCTGCTCCCCTTGAGACAAGAAGAGAAAAAGTGAGGCAATGAAGAGCTGTTCAGGCCCTTTGGGCCCTTTATTTGTCATATTGTAGAATAAAATGAAACCGCGTGATATAGATATAAGAAACACAAGGACAGAAATTTTATCTGAAATTAAAAAGATCGACTCGTGAAATACAAGTACAGGTAGACTGTTTCAGCTGTTGGGACATAAGAGCTGTTTGATTGGGTAAAATGTACTAGATTAGTCAGTGATTTAATTACGGAGACAATGCCGGTACAATTACAAGGTATATATCTGTCTACTTTGATCGCAGACCTGCATTGTGTACCGCATGGCAATCCAGCTTTCGAGTGATTAATAACTATCCAACATCATGCAGGTCCACATGGTATCGCAACGGTTTTACCTCACCAAGGAGTACATGTATATACACTGCCATAACGTATATCACACACAATTTAGTCGATGAATATTCATGATTTCTGTCAACCAATAGAATTCATTGGATGTATGGTTTATGGCTTCATGACATCTTGTTTACGTCACTGGCAAAGATTTGTCTCCCTTGATCACGACTTTCTTTATTTCCTTCTTATAAGAAAACATATTAATGAGGGAATATTTTATTTGTAAGTCCGTGTGAAATGATAAAATGGAGCAAAAATCACTAATAGTAAACAAATAGTGAAGATGAATTAATTTGTTTTGTAAAATCTTAAATAAAATAGAACTATTTTCTCTAGCTCCCATTGTAACATGTCGGGTTTCTGTTTGGCGGAAGGACACTACATGTGTTGGTGTAAACAGGCAATCTAGTGAAAGTCTAGTTCAAAGCCTCACGTATAGCGTGAAGTTGATAGTTATAAACCCTTAACCAATTTCAATATTTGATTTCTTTTTTAAAGACAGCATTTGTTGTCTGGATCTTTCATCTATTAACATTAAGAAATAGGTATTTTTGTAATAAAACTAATGCACTGCATACCTATGTGATATTCACAGGTTGCAGTGAAGCCATATTATCAATTAAACTTCACAGATCACTAGCAAATTACTAGTTTAAACATTGAATTTGTCACAATTAGTTGGTCTCTATTGAAAACAGTTGTATCCATGATCTTCATAAGTAATGTCAGTGATGTTTTCAACTTTTAAGTCATGAAATCCATGGAAAAATGGACAGATTGTTAGATATTTATATATCTAAATAAAACAAAGAAAAACAATTGAAGTTAAGGACATATCCTAAATAGTTACTGGGAACTTTGTTGAGTTCCCTCCCTTAAGATAAACTTTCTTGTACTGAAATACATATGTCATAATATAGAAGATCTGATTGTTATCAAAATATTTATTTTCCTTTTTTCTTTTTAAATTTGTCCATTGATCGATTAAAGCAGACCAAACTACCTTTCATCAAGATTATTTATAGGTCTTTTATTGCGTAAAAAATCAATGAAGACGGAAGTCTGTGAATGTAAACACGTACTACCCTTACATGTATAAAGGCATGGCATGGTCAGTAAGTTGAATTACATTGTCCGGGTGTAGACATTATATGGCAGAGGTCCAGAATTCCATCTGTACAAATGTCTGTAGTGAGGGTATAAAAGCTACATTTTTCCGATAACCATCCGATCGCCCCTGGAAACATCTACCCTGAAGCTCCCAGATTTTGTGTCTGGGCTTGGAGCTTGACACATAGACCTGGATCAATAAAAGAGAGATAGATTGGAATTTAACGCTCTTCATTGTACCTCAATAATACCCCTATACAGAAACCTTTATAATGGGTAGCCTGAGCTAAAAGTGGGTAATAACAGCTTGTAGGACGTCTTCATAGCTTGGTAAATGAAAAGTCTAAAAATGATCGGTGATGAGAAGAAATTTGAATGTTGGAAGTTTGTATTTAAGCTGTCTGGTGTTTTTAATAAATACAGAGAATTTCCTATGGATATCAGGGGAAAAGAACATGGAAATAAAATAAATCAAATTGCTCATAAAAATTCATGAAATTGGTTTTTGGTGTGTGGTGTTTCACTTTTACAACCCTAAAGCTAATATCTCATCTAATTTGCATATATCTGTATCTCAGTCTGTATGGGTGAGTGAACATTTTTGATGTGTGACTTCAGATTAGGGTGGGTCGCCATGGAGACCTCGCGCTACCCGAGGGTATGTGTATGTGGTACAAGCCATATGTTTCTTATCCCAGGGCTAAGTCACCAAAATCCTTTTGTACCATAAAGTTCAAAATCAGTTCTTTTTTTGTTCTTTTTTTGAAGTCATTAAAATGTTTACAATAAAGACACTATTACTATATTATTTGTGTGCACCTTACTCAAAGTATCAACTTATTAAAGGGAGATAATCCAGAACATGTATATGTGTATTAGTACATACTTAAGACAGATTATATCTAGGAGGAATCTCCTCTAGTATAAATGTCGTCATCATCGTCTTTTCAGGTTTTATTTTTATCTCACATGTTTAGCATCAGGGTATATAAAACAATACAAAGTCTAAATCATGATGCAAAATACAATATTGTGTAAAATCTGATATAAGGGAAATGTGACATTAAAGGAAAAGTTGTATTAGTGTGATATTAAGTGAAATGTGATATTAAGTGGGTTCTGTTGGAATCTTTGCTAGGAAACAAGTTAACAATTCTGTATCTGTTTACAAGAACAGTTACACTGTTCATTAAAAGAAGAAATAATTAGTAATATATTTTATGATTGTAAATGTTACAGGTGAAACACAAGTGTTAATAAGGATAGATAGGGTAAACTAGATACTGTGTAACACGACCAAATTTACTCTGAATTCTCAGTAAGGTTTTTCTCTGTTTAAAATATACTGTGTTTTAGAAGATGATTTGAATTTCCTTCAGGGTAAACGAGAGATTTTTTTAAAGAACTTAAACACCTTCAGGAAATATTTCAGTTCGGGTGATACCCTTAAGAGAAGTGTTGATGTTGTGTGGATCGAATGTATTAGCGTATCTAGGGGTGAAGTTATTCTAGATCGAATAGCTATTTACATATTATCTGCGGCAATCCTGCCATAAAATAGGGTACTTAAATGAGTCGTAACAAACAAGCAAGACCGTACAATCTTGCCAGAATATTAACTTTAGACCACATGAATAAAGAAATTAAAAAATCAACCAGGTATATACATGCAGAGAAAGATTTTCTTTTGGATTACATGATTACCTCCCCTTGAGATTCCTACTTGTGTGATTTTATACATCTAAGTGATGGTTGATGAAGTATTATTATGTCACTACCTATTGATGTTTTCTTTGTGCTATTTAATCTTAAAGTATTTTTAATCATGGTGAGAATTTCTACAGTGTGTATAAAGAAAAGGAAAATACCAACATTCAGAAATCGTAACATCTTATATAAAAGGGGTCAAGTTGTGTGGACAATCATTCAGAAATCGTAACATCTTATATAAAAGGGGTCAAGTTGTGTGGACAAGCATTCAGAAATCGTAACATCTTATATAAAAGGGGTCAAGTTGTGTGGACAAGCATTCAGAAATCGTAACATCTTATATAAAAGGGGTCAAGTTGTGTGGACAAGCATTCAGAAATCGTAACATCTTATATAAAAGGGGTCAAGTTGTGTGGACAATCATTCAGAAATCGTAACATCTTATATAAAAGGGGTCAAGTTGTGTGGACAAGCATTCAGAATTCATAACATCTTATATAATAGGGTACAAGCTGTAAGGTCAAACATTCAGAAATTTCAATATTTTATACAATAGGTTACAATCTGTGAGGTCTAATATTTATTCTCTTGGCTGTTGATGTCCAATCTTTATATCTAAAAAAGAGTAAAACAGTATAGACATGATTGTAGAAATTTTTCAGAAAAGTATTTAGTATAGCAGGAAGTTATGGCTGGAAATAAATTTGATATTTATTTATCATTGTTTGTATCTGAAGCTTTATATTTAAATCTCATTTCTTCATTACGTCCTCTGTTCAGTGTGTTTATATGTGTTTGAGTGTGTGTGTATCAGGCAGGGGAGGAGAGGGTGGGGAGGAGAGGGGGGTGTATATGAGGAAATATGAAAATGTCTGACTAAATCTGTATATTACTTTAACCAAGGCAAGAGTTTGTATGCTATTAAACTAATACCAGAGTTTGTTTCTTGTAGGATCTGATCACGAGAGTGAGACAACTTGAAACCCATGTCAACCAGCTCCGAAATGTTGTCCTCAAGTCTCAGGGGGAGACAAACACCAAACAGAGCCGGAAAAAGGGCCAGCGTGAATTTGACTTCAAAAAGTAAGAAGACATTATTATACAGTATATAGATACTTAATGGTTTGATTAGTGTAAGGATAGGTAGAACTTCACAATCATTTTTCTCAAAAATGGAATTTATGTCTTTGTAAGCTTGTAATTAACATTTTAATTTGTGTAGATCATCTTGTCATGTGTTTATGGAGATGATCCATATAAGTTATACTTGTTACCTAATCCAATTTATGCCAAGTTTATATCAAGTTTGTGAACTGGTATTTCCTGATTTTGTACCAATATTTAAGAAATGTCAATATTAGCCCTGACTTTCGTATCTTTAGGTACAACACACGCCATGTGGCCCTTAAGGTTCTGTATCTTGGCTGGGACTACCACGGCTTTGCTGCACAAGAGGACACAGAGAAAACAATTGAGACTGCTCTGTTTGATGCACTTCTCAAAACAAGGCTTATTGAAGCTAGGTAGGTGAAAATCAGAAAAATGTACAAAGAGAGTGTTTGTACAATAGAAAAGAAGACATGATAATTTTAACTAAATCTTTCAAATTCTAGTGGCTGTTATATTTCAGGTTTTTATAACTTTTTTCTTTATTTAGATCAAAATAAACCAAGTTAGCTTCAGGAAAGGGAAATAAAAAAATATAGTAGTCTTATATTAAAAATATAGATAGTCATACATCTACTATTGATACTCAACACAGAATTTTGAATTAAAAACCAGGAGAATTATACATCTGATATTGATTCTCAGCACAGAATTGAAAATGTTATCTGTCAGTCAAATATCTGATTGCAAAGATCAGATCCTTTGATATCCTACCAATGCTGACAAAATAATGATACATATATTTTAAGAGAAATAATAACTTCAAAAACTTTCTAATGTTAATTTTCCAGAGAAACTTCAAGTTACCACAGGTGTGGTAGGACAGACAAAGGTGTCAGTGCCTTTGGACAGGTATGTTGTTCTTGTATCACACCTGGTTGGACAGGTGTTGTGTTACCATACCGCGAAAGTAAACAGAGAATATTGGAGATTTGGGTGATAAGTACACAATTTCATTATAAATTTAATTTTAAACATTCAAGTGTAAATCTTGAACTCATATGAAGTTTGTCCCCATTAGATAATTAAAGTGCATTGAATTCAGTCTTGCATGTTAAGAAAAAGGCTGAACATGATTTTGATTAAGGTGATGTCTGGATATTAATTGGTTTTGTACAGGTTATTTCCATTGATTTGCGGACCAATTTGTTGGAGGGACCAGGTGTGAAAGTCAGGGAAGATGGAACAGCTTATGATAGGCCTGGTAAGTAAAATATGGAGGCTGTTGATCCATAATAATCCTGATCAGTAGAATATGCCAATAAAGTAGGGAGGAGATTGGAACAGCCTGTAGTTGTACCAGTAGATGAGATAGTGAAAACAATGATGATAAATGAATAGTGAAAAAAATGAAGGAAGGAGGATGGAACAGCTTTTATTGTAAGAAATCTCCATAGTATGCATATGAATACAATCATGGAAATGAACCTTTTTTATACTTAAGCAGGTCAATATGTCTTGGTCATCTAAATTTTTATTTAGGTTCAGACAATGTCTAAAAGTATATGGTTATCGTAAATCGTGCATTAAATAATATTTCTGGTTTTATCATTGATGAGAAGGATATTATATGCTAGGTATTAAATAAATTACTTTCAGTTTATTGTATTATTTAAATGTTAAATGGATGGAATGGGTTAAATATAAATTAATCTGATTTCAGGTGAAAAGACAACAGAGATACGATATGTCCACATTCTCAACAAAGTTCTGCCTCCAGAGATCCGGGTTCTTGCCTGGGCCCCTGTTAATGTTAATTTCAGTGCCAGGTAAGAACATAAAAAACGTATTGGTTCATTTTACAAATGCCTTAGTAATTAAAATTTACAGTTTGATGAATCTTGTCAAAACATTTTCAGTAGGAGGAAATAATACAAACATTCCTCCAGGATAAGATAAGGGACATAACTCTTGACATAATAAAAAATATTATGATATTGAGGATGATACAGATATATTTCTATCATCTTGCTTCATTTCAGATTTGACTGCAAGAAAAGAACTTACAAGTATTTTTTCCCAAAGGGCAATCTTGACATACAGGTAAGAGATATAATGATATCACATTGCTGATGGCTACGGCCTGGCATGTTGTTCACGATAGTGGGGTTTGTGTCTTCAGGAATAATCCTCATTTTACAGAACAAATTCAGATAGCTAGTGCTAACCATACATAAAGTGCAAATGATATTTTCTGATAAGAACTATAGAGTTACTGATGATTTTTAGCTTTAGATCTCCTATCTCTCTTGTTAAGGAATTAGAGGAATGAATTGATGAAACTTCCACTCACTATGATTACAGGCAATGGCTGAAGCTGCAGAGAAAATCACAGGAGAACATGATTTCCGTAACTTGTGTAAGATGGACGTAGGAAATGGAGTGGTCAATTTCCGACGTAAAATTGTCTCGGCTGATATCAGGAATTTAGATGAAAGGTATCCTCATAAGCATTGTATGAAACTAGAATATTTAATATACAGTTTACATAGGGAAATGATGACGATTACTTTGCTTGTGATATTAAATTGACATTGAACTTGATATGAGAATGATAGGTTGAGATTTTCAAAAACAATGATGTGAGTTATTTCCCTTTGTTTTATGTGTATTTAACTATGTTTTCATTTCATACACTGATTTACATTACATTTGTTTATCGTCTTTGAAGAGTTCTGGAGTTTCTATTACCGTGATTATATGCTCTTTATTTGCAGAAAGAGAAAAGTAGAATTTTAACATGTTTGTTTGTTTACAGGGAGAATGGCTACCAGATGTGTGAGCTGACCATCGTGGGATTAGCATTCCTCTGGCATCAGATCCGCTGTATAGTAGCTGTTCTTTATTTGATCGGTCAAGGAAAAGAAAAGTCAGAGGTATGTTGGTTCTGATTGCTCACAGAATCTTATAGACAAGGGGACATAACTCACCTGTAATACAGAATCAAATAGAGATTTACTTCACAACTGCCCTGGTCCTAGTGGCTTCTAGCTAGTAACAAATGCTTACTCAAAAATATCACTGAAGTTGAAATGGGCTTATTATAGGTTGTTGTATCTTTCTTAAAGGAGTCACAATGATTTCATTTTATTTATGAAACTTTATCGTGTTATATTGAAAAATTCAGGGCAAATTTTAGAAATATCATTTGACGTGATGGAAACTAGTTAAAAATTCATTCCTAAGGAATTTATTCAAAAGTTCACTAGGAGCTTGCCATCATTTTCTCCACCATAGCCTGGGCATTTTTTCTGCAGTTCTGACTTGACATTGCTCCGTTGACCTGCCGATTCCCTCAGATCTAACTTGAAAGTATTAGAAAAATAACATACATGATAGCCAGGTTACAAAGCAAGTTAATTTGATTTTGAAATGATTTTATTTAATTTTCAGATCATTGATGAATTGTTAGATGTAGAGAAAACACCTAAAAAACCGCAGTACACAATGGCCTCAGGTACTACAAGTTTCTATAGTGATTTTAAAGTGTGTGATTTGTATCCTTGTCCTCACATGTAAACCTCATTAAGTCTCTAACAAATACAGTTTTGATAGATTTATATTAGAACATAATTCATGTTCATTATAAAAGGTGAACATTTTAAGCTTGTGTAAGTTCTTCTGGTTCCATGAGAAGGTTTTTGTAATTATTTCTAAATTTGAATGGTTTTAATTTCTTTTAAAAACTGGATGAAAAATTGTGATCTGAAATATTGTTTTCTTCCACACCTGTGTGGGTATAACTGCTTAATTCTATGTAATAAGGATGTATTACTGTACTGTTATTCGGAGATTTAAAAGACTGGTCAATAATAGAAAATATTCTGACACTATTTGTTTGTATTTACAGAGCTTCCACTTGTGTTGTTTGACTGCGAGTTTGCTGATGATGTCGAATGGATATATGAAGCAGGTAAGATTCACTTACATGTTGAGGTTAGTTTTATTAATTCTGTTAGAGGTTATTGATATGGGCCGTTCATCCATTCTATTTCTCTATGTATATATATATATATTTCAGATTGGCATGAGGAAAACATCCGTCACTTACAGCAGATTTGGGCTCACCACACAGTCAGGTAAGTCAACACACATCTAGAATATTGACTTATGGTAAATCTAGTAGTGCTTGAGATTACTATTTTCTGAAGAATACTTTTTGAATTCCGTTGTTTTTATCACCTGGCCAAAAGGGCCTAGTAATCTATAGGGATACTGTGGCATCTGTCGTCCATTGTCCGGCATACAGCGTCTGTCAACTTTAACTATATATTGCAACTATTCATACATGACTGAGCAGATTTTAATCAAATTTGGTCTAAAGCATCCTTGGGGAACCAATATTGTGAAAATGGTGGATATATGGCCACGGTAAAAAAAGCAAGATGAATGTCACGGCATATACAGCAGTTCATTGAAAGTTATAAAAGCAAAACGAAATTGTGATTTACTTCATACATGTTCGCAATATTTGATATTTTGTGTGTTTCAGGTCAACAATGATTCGTCGTATGTTAGAAGAAATGGACAGTGCTAAAGTAGAGACAGGTAATGTATATATATATATATAGATATATATCTGATGTTACTATACACCAAAACATTTTCTTATCTGACAGTGCTAAAGTGGAGACAGGTAATACGGTATATATATCTGGTGTTATTATACTGCAAAACATATTCTTATCTTATAAGGCCAATTAGACGATAGAGAATTATCAGGAACCAGTATAAGGAGGAATACTGGGCAAACTACTATAAGCATCCTAAGTTGTGCTTCTGATGCTGGAGATCTTTATCCTCTACAAATTATACTGTCCCTCCAAGCAGCACTTTTGTTATAAACTACAAAAATTAATGATGTTATATAGAATGTTTGATCATTCTTAAGAGCTGTTAGAACTTATATATGTAATAATGTTATGTTCTATTTTTAGTATAATTATTAGCTGTTGTAGATTGTGATATTGCTTCCTGGAATGTCTTGTGCTCCCTGTTTATATTTAATTCTATATCTGTTGTAGATTGTGATATTGCCCCCTGGAAAGACCTGAGCTCCCCTATTTATAACCAGACAGAATGGATCATTCCTGGAAATAAAAGCAAGGTTCACAAACGCCTTCTGGAACGTCAAACATGTGGTAGGTCTATGCTGGAGTGTTTACATGATGTAATATTAACATGTTGGCTGATATAAAAATTCACAATTATGGGGTAGTTCTTCTCATACATTTGTTTGATAATGGAGATGTTTAGGCATATCCGTGAATTTCCACATTATTTTTATTTAATCTAAACGACAGATATTCAGTAGAGTGCCAGACATGTGTTTTTTTATTTAATCAAAACAACAGATATTCAGTAGAGTGCCAGACATGTGTGTTTTTATTTAATCAAAATGACAGATATTCAGTAGAGTGCCAGATATGTGTGTTTTTATTTAATCAAAATGACAGATATTCAGTAGAGTGCCGACGTGTGTTTTTATTTAATCTAAACAACAGATATTCAGTAGAGAGACAGGCATGTGTTTTTTTATTTAATCTAAATGACAGATATTCAGTAGAGTGCCAGACATGTGTGTTTTTATTTAATCTAAACAACAGATATTCAGTAGAGTGCCAGACATGTGTGTTTTTATTTAATCAAAATGACAGATATTCAGTAGAGTGCCGACGTGTGTTTTTATTTAATCTAAACAACAGATATTCAGAGAGAGACAGGCATGTGTTTTTTTATTTAATCTAAATGACAGATATTCAGTGTGTGTGTGTTTTTATTTAATCTAAACAACAGATATTCAGTACAGACATGTGTGTTTTTATTTAATCAAAATGACAGATATTCAGTAGAGTGCCGAGTGTTTTTAGAGAGTAGAGAGACAGGCATGTGTGTTTTTATTTAATCTAAATGACAGATATTCAGTAGAGAGACAGGCATGTGTGTTTTTATTTAATCTAAATGACAGATATTCAGTAGAGAGACAGGCATGTGTTTTTTTATTTAATCTAAATGACAGATATTCAGTAGAGAGACAGGCATGTGTTTTTTTATTTAATCTAAATGACAGATATTCAGTAGAGAGACAGGCATGTGTGTTTTTATTTAATCTAAACAACAGATATTCAGTAGAGAGACAGGCATGTGAGACTGTTTTGTAAGGATTGCAATTACTTGATGGAATACTTGACGAGTGTTAATATTGTGATTACAGAAAGTCTAGAAGAGCGTATTGAACACTATGCAAAGAAGAGAAAGCTTGACACGCCTCCATCTACAGATACTACCCCTGGATCAGAAACAGTGTCTGCCCCTGGGTCAGAGTCTGTCTCCCCTGCCCCAGAGGAACAAGCCAGCTAGGGGTTTGATGGCCTTCCTACACAGACTCATTCTGAAACAAGACTGGTGAATTAAGTCAGACAGATTACCTGAGGAGAGATTTAAGCTGTAAACAAATCTAATCTTCATGTTCAGTATTGGATTCTACTGTCTTCATTCAAGATTTTGTCACAGGAATCCATTTCTTGTTTGCCTCGATGTTTAGTTGCTTCATCTTCATCTATAACTTGAGAACTAATATGTCGACAAACAGAAAATTGGCGTGAATAAATAGTGTTTTACATCAAGAACAGTGTGTTATATTTCAAACATCTGGTCCTCCTGGTTTTGACATCAGCATCCCAGCGAAATTTTGTTATGATGAGGTCACTTTGTTTTACAATGCATCCACAGAGACGTGATATGTGTTTGAAGATTGAATACTTATTTTGGAAATTTTAATTTGACTGTGATGATACAATTATAATAATATTCATCTATTGTACTCCAAACTCAACTTCAAATAATTACTTATCATTTGACAAAATCATAGCTTTTACAATGAAGATGTTTTATTTTGAAAGTTTGCATTGTAAGTATAGGGTTACAATGAGCTACCAGTTCTACCAGATTTAACTTTTGTGGAGATTGCAGCAATAGTCGGTGAAATTTGTACAGATCTTTCAATGTGTGTTAATGTCTTTTCTAGATTTTGTTTTTATTCATAGCTTTAAAGATAATTCAGTCTTGAACTGTTAATGGCTGTCAAGATGTTTTAGTGCTGGTGAGTTTTTTTATTTTGCCTTCCCAAGTGCCAAGAATTAAGGGCAAAATTTTGTTATTTGATCTTATGCCATATTTCAGTGAAAAATCTAATGTCTTAAATTAAAACTTGATTTTGTAAATATTATAGAAGACTGCAAGATAATTATTTTTGTCCTGGAATTATCATTTTTTTTGTTATCAAAACATTTTTCTTTGAGACCACACTGATGTTTTAAAAAAAAAAGATAAATATTTGTATCGAAAAGCTGTGAATCCTTCTTAACCTGGAGGTTGATCTAGCGATGTTGTTTATGATACTGTTTCAAAACTAAAAAATATTGAGACAAATTGCTAACAATGTTTTACAACTGATCATTGATAAGTTATTACAGATCTCTCAAATATACCACAGTATGTAGAATAGTTACTAGTCATCATGGAAATATCAGTTTCTACATTCTGTTTACCCACCGTTTATTCTACTCCTGTATGTTATACAGTCAAATTTACCAACAGTACATCTATTACCTGTACAGCATAATCAATGGAAACTGACTTTATCCTCATTGGAACTTAATGGGATTCACTGAAAATAGAACTGGTATTTACTGATTATGTTAACACTATTTTCATTCATTTGATCTTCTGTCACTCATATTTGTTGTAAATAGATCAGTCTTTTCTTGTTTGAAAGGGAACTTTTGCAAAATAAAGTTTCAAATGATTCTTGAATGTGTTCAGTTCAGACCTAAATGAGAACACGGAAAACAACGGTGCTTATTTATTTTATTTACGAGAGTTAGCTTTATAAAAATAGAAATAGTGGCAAACCGTAGAAGATTTCATATCATATATGAAAAATAAAAAAATGTATTTGTTTAGAGTTGATATGATTGCCGACGTACAGGGTAATATATGAGATTTCTGTGGTCATTCTCGTCACTGGTGTAAGCATACTCGCCAATATTTACAGATGTTAGGGAGGTGGTTTTTGTTATATAATTGTTAGATATTTATTTATGTTTTTTGTAGATTTTTCTCATTAGAAAACTGTAGTCATGTTGTGTTGACTCTAGTCGGTCGGATTTGATCTGGATTTTTTTTAAAAATGTAATTAATTTTTTGTTCAAACCCATGTTTGTCTCTAAAACAGTGAACTATATACTCACATCACAATATATTTCACAGGCAACATCTTTGTTTTGACAATAAGCTATAGATGCTTATTTAAGTTGTTATCATATGTACAAAGCTTTTTAAGTTCAATTTGAATGGATTATAAGCTGTGTTTTCAAAGCATAATGTGGCATCAGATTTGTTATTGACATAATCAAAAGTAAAACGAGTATTTTGTTGTATACTGGTGCTGGATGTTAGAAATTAACAACCTGGGTTAACTACTACCTGGCTTAATTACTACCTGGGTTAACTTTTACCTGGGTTAACTACTACCTGGGTTAACTACTACCTGGGTTAATTACTACCTGGGTTAACTTTTACCTGGATTAACTTTTACCTGGGTTAAATACTACCTGGGTTTACTACTACCTGGCTTAATTACTACCTGGGTTAACTTTTACCTGGGTTAATTACTACCTGGGTTAACTTTTACCTGGGTTAATTACTACCTGAGTTAACTTTTACCTGGGTTAACTTTTGCCTAAGTTAATTACTACCTGGGTTAACTTTTACCTGGGTTAACTTTTACCTAAGTTAATTACTACCTGGGTTAACTTTTACCTGGGTTAATTACTACCTGGGTTAACTTTTACCTGGGTTAATTACTACCTGGGTTAACTTTTACCTAAGTTAATTACTACTTGGGTTAATTACTACCTGGGTTAATTACTACCTGGGTTAACTTTTACCTGGGTTAATTACTACCTGGGTTAACTTTTACCTGAGTTAATTACTACCTGGGTTAACTACCCTGAGTAAGTACATATTTGTTGTTGATGTAAGTATTGCAGAACTAAAGAAGCTCATTTGGTGTATACTTTTTTTTCTGTCATATAAAAGACTTTGTTTTGTTTTGTAATTCTATTGTAAAAGGTGTTCATATATGAAATGAAAAACAACTTAAGAAAATGTTAATTTTGTCACTATTTAACTGTGGAACTTGGTTATCATTAAGATAAGCTAAACACTTGTTTAAATATTAACATACTGCCTCAATTCCTATAAAATGTCAGAGATGTAATAAAGTTTTACATTTTAAAATAGATTACAATACCAAGTTTATGTTTATTCTTCTCTAATTCATACACTTTTTAAAAAAACAGTTGCTAAACACAGTTATTTTTTCACATTTGTTAGTTCACACTTTAGATACCTCAGTGAAAGAGAGCTTCCAAATTTGAGAGATTTCTTAAAAAATGCATATAGTCTACAGACTTGATTGTGTTCCACAGTAGAGATATATTGTACAAGATTTTAGTTATTAATAGTCAATAGTTCCATGTTAATGCCAAACCTCAGAATTTCTAGTCAGTTAAGTTAAATTGATATCAATTTAAATATTGAAGAATTCTCATTTTAATTATTTCAATGCATCTTCAATTGACGGATTAGTGAAAGCAAGAAAAGTTAACAGTGCCAGTACTTTCTGAAATATTAACATTTAAATATTATATAATCATGTTGTTGACATGCTCTGCCAAAGTCTGATTTTGTTGACCAGAATTTCATATATTATTTTTGCAAATGATATAAATTTATTAAGAACAACCCCATATTTCGTGGTGTTTGTATAGAAGTTCAGTGATGATGATGTTTACCTTCCATTTTTTTTTTAAACTGACCTAGCTTCATATCTAGACAGTATTACGTGTTTACAGTGATGGACCGTGAGATTTCAGAAGTCTTCTTGTATGTTTTTTGGATTTTTTTATTGTAATGCAGAGTTATCTGCTCTTATTAGCAGGTATTGATTGTTTTCTCACAGAGAAATGGTGTAACACTCCATTCCTGCTCACAAGAGCAGACAACTCTGTATTATGAAAGACAGAATAGATTTTATTTTAAATAAAAAGTAGATTTATTGGAGTTTTCTTGTAATATTTAAATATTGAATTTTAATGGATGGATTTTGTTTGTGGTTTAATCTTGTTTCAACATTCCATGGGGGTTCTGGAAAATAAATACATTTCATATCATTGTTTTGATGGAAGGGACATAACCCAGCAATATTTTAGTAAATGTTACACTGCAATAATTCTTTATCATTTATGTGCAGAATTTGATATAAGATTAACTGGAATAACACATTCTGACATGAAAACATGATACCAAAATTAAGGTTTCTTTACAGTTGTGAAAGACATAATCTAATTGTTTAACATGTGTTATTTAGTGACATGCACAAACCAAAAAGACTTGATAGTGCTTGATTTGTAATGATATGGTCCTGTGCATTTTGTTAGCTATTGTTGTAATAAGACTACCTTCTAATATTAGAATACTGTCGTATCTAGTTACTGGGAGTAGGTTAGATGTGTCAAAACAGAAATTTGACTGAAATGTTGAATTTTAGTGAAATGGTGCAAAATTTTTATTGATATTTAAATTCACTCTGTTATGAAGCACTGCACTGACAGGTGGTCAGTGGTAGTGACCACACAAGACTTAACGACTAAGATTTTACATAAGTTTTGTTATTGTTGTTTGTAGTGGACATTTGAAATACTCATAATGAGGTTGATTACAAGAACTAATAAAGGTGCAGATTTTATGATATTTGATATTTATCTACCATTGACAGCATTCAGAATTCAACTTATTACTCATGCAGGCTGTAGGTACTGGGAACAGAGACCAGGAAGTGGGAAGTAGAGGTGGGAGAACATTTGGAATAGCATTGGGTGCATAAATATCTAAAATACCAAAGTGGGAACTGGCGAGGATGTGAGATCTCAGAAATTGGTGAGGATGTGAGGTCAGAAATTGGTGAGATGGGAGATCAGAAATTGGTGAGGTGGGAGATCAGAAATTGGTGAGGTGGGAGATCAGAAATTGGTGAGGTGGGAGATCAGAAATTGGTGAGGTGGGAGATCAGAAATTGGTGAGGATGTGAGATCTCAGAAATTGGTGAGGATGTGAGGTCAGAAATTGGTGAGATGGGAGATCAGAAATTGGTGAGGTGGGAGATCAGAAATTGGTGAGGTGGGAGATCAGAAATTGGTGAGGATGTGAGATCAGAAATTGGTGAGGTGGGAGATCAGAAATTGGTGAGGATGTGAGATCAGAAATTGGTGAGATGGGAGATCAGAAATTGGTGAGGATGTGAGATCAGAAATTGGTGAGATGGGAGATCAGAAATTGGTGAGGATGTGAGATCAGAAATTGGTGAGATGGGAGATCAGAAATTGGTGAGGATGTGAGATCAGAAATTGGTGAGATGGGAGATCAGAAATTGGTGAGGATGTGAGATCAGAAATTGGTGAGATGGGAGATCAGAAATTGGTGAGGATGTGAGATCAGAAATTGGTGAGATGGGAGATCAGAAATTGGTGAGGATGTGAGATCAGAAATTGGTGAGGATGTGAGATCAGAAATTGGTGAGGTGGGAGAAGAGAGGGGAGGTGACAGTGTTTGAATAACTAGATTTTGGAGTTGTCTGGCATCACAAAATCTGAGAGAGGAAAGAGAGGGGGAAGTGTTTTTTTAAAAAGGTAAGGCTAGTGACCCAGCTGGTATTGAGGAAAGACAAAAGGGGAACAGGAAAGATCTGGAATTTGATCTGGGGAGATCATGGATGAGTGGAAGTCTTGCATTTAAGGAAGGGGATGTGGAAGAATTGAAATGGGTTGGGAAGTCTACAGATACTATTTTAGGTCTGGGAAAGGCTGGGGAGTCTACAGATACTATTGTAGGTCTGGGAAAGGCTGGAGAGTCTACAGATACTATTGTAGGTCTGGGAAAGGCTGGGGAGTCTACAGATACTATTGTGGGTCTGGGAAAGGCTGGGGAGTCTACAGATACTATTGTGGGTCCAGGAAAGGCTGGAGAGTCTACAGATACTATTGTAGGTCTGGGAAAGGGTGGGGAGTGTACAGATACTATTGTAGGTCTGGGAAAGGCTGGAGAGTGTACAGATACTATTGTAGGTCTGGGAAAGGCTGGGGAGTCTACAGATACTATTGTAGGTCTGGGAAAGGCTGGGGAGTCTACAGATACTATTGTAGGTCTAGGAAAGGCTGGGGAGTCTACAGATACTATTGTAGGTCTTGGAAAGTTTGGGGAGTTTACAGATACTATTGTAGGTCTGGGAAAGGCTGGGGAGTCTACAGATACTATTGTGGGTCTGGGAAAGGCTGGGGAGTCTACAGATACTATTGTAGGTCTAGGAAAGGCTGGGGAGTCTACAGATACTATTGTAGGTCTGGGAAAGGCTTGGGAGTCTACAGATACTATTGTAGGTCTGGAAAAGGCTGGGGAGTCTACAGATACTATTGTGGGTCTGGGAAAGGCTGGGGAGTCTACAGATACTATTGTAGGTCTGGGAAAGGCTTGGGAGTCTACAGATACTATTGTAGGTCTGGGAAAGGCTGGAGAGTCTACAGATACTATTGTAGGTCCGGGAAAGAAGTAGGAATTCAGTTAAATCAGTTATGTATCTCACGTGCTTCCATACTTATTGTTACTCTATATGACATTATAATGTAGTAACTGTGACCAAGGTTTGGTTTTGTATTAGAACAACCTGCCTATATTGATGTTTCGGAGGTTGTTCCGAGTTGTTTTTAACACTTTTTTGAATGCCTGCGCAGCCATTTAAACTGTAATTGTAATTAAAGTTATATATAAAATATTGTCTGATGTGCCATCACATACTCTTTATTTGTATGTAATATTTTCATTTTCATGACCTGAATACCAAAACATCTCCAAGTTAATATGTAAATAAATAAACAGGAAACAAAAATCTGAAAATAAATCAACAGATTTAAAAAGAATCCTCACATACTTAACTTTATGTCCTGTTGACTGATTTGCGGATGAGTTGTTGGTGTTGGTGTAAGGATGTTTTGGTATTCAGATTTGTGTATATTTTGGTGTTTGTATCACTTCAGTCATCATTAAACTGTTATTTGTTTGGTTATTACATTGTTACAGTGTCTTGTTGTACGGCCATTTTGGCCTGAATGGATGTCAAGTGGTTAATGGTCAAGTCTAAATATCAGAACCAGCAACTTCCATGATCTATCTGGTCATAAACCCATGTCTAGTAATAAGTCCAACCAATATTATATTGCTAATTAAAATAAAAACAGATATTTGATTATCCTGTAATAAACCTACTATATATAGATGTAAATAATCAGATGTTGTTTTCTGTTTGTGTGTAGTAAACAAGTAAATCATGTGGAAATGTATAAACAAATATTTGTTTGGGATCATATTCATCTGTGAAGTATTAATATTATTTGAAAAATATTTACCTTTAACATCAATAAAAATTGGAAAGTGGAAAGTTAAAAATCATGTTACTGGTATGTGTCTTGACAAAACCTAGTTATATACAGAGGGTCGATTCAAACCAGGCCTTGGTATTGAATTGGAAATCAATGAGAAATCATTCCTCTTTCACAGACGTACTTGTTAGAACATCAGCACATTAATCCATTCTCATTATGACATGATTGAAATTCAGTTTTACTGTAGATGTAATCAAATTGAGATAGTCCACATTTCTCCAGTCAAGTTGATGTAAATATCTTACAATTCCTGTAGTCTTTGTAATTATGCCAATTATAAAGAATATTCCTTAATCTAGACATTTTGGAAGCTCCCTATTTCTGATCAGGCAGAAGTTGCTGGTTCTGATTTGAGACAACCGTGTATTATTTTGTTAAAATTCAGTATAGGATGTTTGAAAATGTTGTGGAATGCATGTAGAGGTTTTATATATCATATTATTATCAGTAATAATTAATTATTCAATAAACATTCACTTTGTCTGTATCGGGGGAAACCTGTGCTGTGTTGGTATTTGGTGTAAGTTGTGAAATATTTGTATCGCTTCTCTGTGACAGAAACACTGACAGGTCAATGTACAGATTTGTCTTTGTCAGAGAATAAATTACAAGTTTGTTTTAAGGTCACAGGATAAGTATTGCAGAAGTTTAATCAGAAAGTCAGACTTAATTCTACTAAGGTCACATTTCAGTTGTTTGCAGGTCACCCATTAATGTTTCACTCTTTTTTTAACTCGGCCATCTTGGATTTTGACAATGAAAGTTCATTATGGTTATATCCAGAGAAGTGTTGTATGTATACTTCTTGAATTTCTCACAGATTCACCTGTATGTGCGAATTTAGGTTTGATCAGAAAAAATTTTAAAAAATTGGATAACAGGTGGCCATCTTGGATTTACCAATTAGATATTGTTATCGTTATTTTTTATAGGAATTTTCAAATTAGTTCATATTTAAAAGCAAAAACAAAGGAAAGAAGAGAAAAAGTGCCAAGATGTCCTGTAATTGTCTATTGTCATCACAATCTTAACAGAATGTTTTAATGTGGTAAATCATAGGATGCCATTTATTTGATTCAACATAAGTGACCTTTGGTGACCTTTGGTGACCTTAGATGACATTGTGTAAACTCTAACCTTATCTTTAATGATTTTGATGGAACAGATATAATCTCACATCAGTTTTTCTACTGGAGGGACATTCCTACAAATTGACGAGTCAAACAATTGTATGTGTTTAAAGTACATTTCTCTGTCTAAGTGTTATTACTGTTAGATATATTTAGGGACAATTTGGTTACATAATCTCCTCTCTGATCATTTCTATTCACAATGATTGTCCATTTTGGGTGATTTCTTGGATTTTTTTCACATAATTTGTTAAAAAGTTTACATGGCTTGATAAAGCTGAAAATTCTTCCTTTCATTTGAATTATGGAAAGAATTTTTTTTTTATTTTTTCAAAAGTAGGACAACATTCAAGTAAGAACTGATATTGTATGTATCAGTAATCATTAATTATGTTTCCAGTATTAGTCATTACATCAGATGTTATAATGTTATACAATGTTATTGTCTGTGTACTCTATATAGAGACAGTTTACCATAGTATGGTAAAAATCATTCATTACATGGTATTGTTATTGTATGTCATGTGATATAGGAAATCATTATATTACTACAACGCCACTTCATCAGTCTCAACCTCTCCTGGTGTACATTGTGATTATCAGTTCTTTGCAGAGAGCTTTTAGGAACCTAATCTCTCCTGGAGTACGTTATGACATTCAGTTACTTGGCAGTACCCAGTCTCTCCCAGAGTGAAATTCATCACCAAGTCTCTCCCAGGGAGGGTTGAGGTGCCTAATATTTATAAGTGAACATTTCCGTACCCCATTTGGCTCTGACTCAGAGCTATGAAAAACTGTTTCTCCCAGAATGCTATAGGCTCCAAATATCTCCCAAAGTGCATTGCGCCACTCAATCTTTCAGAGTATACAACCTGTCCACAGTTAATTGTGGTACCAAATCTTTTCCTGAGTGTTCAAGGTACCCAGCATCTCCCAGAGTGCTTTGTGCTGCCACCTGCTATACTGGACAAGGAAAGATAACTGTGGTAGAGACTGTCTGTGTCTGAATGTACAGAGGGGGTAGATTTTCACAGTAAAAAAAGAAAGTAGACCTACTTTTGGTATATTGAAAATCAATTATTTTTTATTTAAAAGATAATTGATTGTCATTAAGTTCTAGACTGGATGGCAACAAACCCTCCCTGTGCTTTATAACACAAACTGTAGTTATAATACTTCAAACTTACCTGTCATTGTTTGACATAGCTACATGGTCAGTAATCAGGTTAAAAATGGCCACATATCTACATTAGTTGATTAATTATATTTGTTTAGAAGTTCTCTAGTGTAGATTGTTTTTGATTGGTTCAATATTACATAAAATCACATTTAATAATTTCAAAGAAAATCAAAATATTAAAATAATAAAATGGTGTCCGGAGTGACTTAGTGCTCGAGTATATTAGAATCATTGTATAAATCATAACACACCAGACTACATGGTCAGTATTTCTGGAGCTAATGTGTACAGGACAGTACAAAGAAACATAGCTCCTGGAATAATGCAGGGATTTGGTTTCTGGAAAATATTAGAAAACACTTTTGTTTGAAGGAAGAAAACAAAAAGATGAAAATTCTGAAGTTGATTTTGTATTGATGACATAGAAACAAGAGTGATACTAAGTGATATGTTGTATATGTTTTATGTGTTATTGTCATTCTATGTAGTCATTGTCTTGCCAACGGGTATCCTGGGTTTAATATAATAAAAACACATAAACTACTTCTGTCTTTGTATCATCATTCACAAGTGTCTCTTATAATTATTCCTGTCTTTGTAGAGGTAGAGTGTGACCTCTATAACAAATAGATCCTTCCAGTGTTAGAGTGAGACCACCATAACAAATATATCCCTCCCGTTGTAGAGTGTGACCTCTATAACATAGATCCCTCCCGTGGTAGAGTGTGACCTCTATAACAAATATATCCCTCCCGTTGTAGAGTGTGACCTCTATAACATAGATCCCTCCCGTGGTAGAGTGTGACCTCTAAAACAAATAGATCCCTTCAGTTGTAGAGTGTGACCTCTATAACGAATATATCCCTCCCGTGGTAGAGTGTGACCTCTATATCAAATATATCCCTCCCGTTGTAGATTGTGACCTCTATATCAAATATATCCCTCCCGTTGTAGAGTGTGACCTCTATATCAAATATATCCCTCCCGTGGTAGAGTGTGACCTCAATAACAAATATATATTTTCCGTGGTAGAGTGTGACCTCTATAACAAATATATCCCTCCCGTTGTAGAGTGTGACCTCTATAACATAGATCCCTCCCGTGGTAGAGTGTGACCTCTATAACAAATAGATCCCTTCAGTTGTAGAGTGTGACCTCTATAACAAATATATCCCTCCCGTGGTAGAGTGTGACCTCTATAACAAATATATCCCTCCCGTGGTAGAGTGTGACCTCTATAACAAATATATCTCTCCCGTTGTAGAGTGTGACCATCATAACAAATAGATCCCTTCAATTGTAGAGTGTGACCTCTATAACAAATATATCCCTCCCGTGGTAGAGTGTGACCTCTATTTCAAATACATCCCTCCCGTGGTAGAGTGTGACCTCTATTTCAAATAGATCCCTCCCGTGGTAGAGTGTGACCTCTATATCAAATATATCCCTAACGTTGTAGAGTGTGACATCTATAACAAATAGATCTTTTCCGTTATAGAGTGTGACCTCTATAACACATAGATCCCTCCCGTTGTAGAGTGTGACATCCATTACAAATATATCCCTCCCGTGGTAGTGTGACCTCTGTAATAAATAGATTCTCTCTGTGGTAGAGTGTGACCTCTATAACAAATAGATCCCTTCCGTGGAAGAGTGTGACCTCTGTAATAGATAGATTCTCTCTGTGGTAGAGTGTGACTACTATAACAAATAGATTCATTTACATCATATTTCACAGCAGCACCACCTGTCATACTGACGAGCATCAAACATTAACATCATATCTCACAGCACCACCTGTTAT